CTGAGTGTGCCCTGAGAACGAGATATGTGCAGCTCCTATCGGGATTTGTCGGCACATTCGGGCGGTGTTGCTGGATTTATTTTAACCTGTCGAAGTGTCTTGTAGAACCGGGATACCGAGTCTGATCGGAACGTCTCGGGAGGAGGTCTATTCCTTCGTTGACCGTGAGAGCTTGTGATGGGCTAAGTTGGGACTCCCCTGCAGGGATTTGAACTTTCGAAAGTCGTGCCCGCGGTTATGGGCAGATGGGAATTTGTTAATGTCCGGTTGTAGATAACTTGAACCTTAACTTAATTAAAATGAATCAACAGCGTGTGTTACCGTGATGGTCTCTTTCCGGCGGAGTCCGGGAAGTGAACACGGTGTTGGAGTTATGCTTGACGTAGGTTGTTCTAGGATCACTTCTTGATCATAGTTGTTCGACCGTGCTTTTGCCTTCTCTTCTCGCTCTCTTTTATGAATAGGTTAGCCACCATATATGCTAGTCGCTTGCTGCAGCTCCACCTCATACCTTTACCTTACCCATAAGCTTAAATAGTCTTGATCGCGAGGGTGCGAGATTGCTGAGTCCCCGTGGCTCACAGATACTTCCAAAACTAGTTTGCAGGTGCCGATGAGACCGTGCAGATGACGCAACCAAGCTCAGAAGGAGTTCGATGAAGATCTTGTCCTTTGTGTTGTTTCGTTCTAGTTGATCAGTAGTGGAGCCCAGTTGGGGTCGATCGGGGACCTTTGTCGCATTTGGGGTTCTTCTTTTATTTTGGTTCCGTAGTCAGACCTTGATTGTATTTGGTTGATGTAATGCTTTATTCTTGTAATTGTGTGAAGTGGCGATTGTAAGCCAACTATGTATCTCTTTCCCTTATGTATTACATGGGTTGTGTGAAGATTACCTCACTTGCGACATTGCTTTCAATGCGGTTATGCCTCTAAGTCGTGCTTCGACACGTGGGAGATATAGCCGCATCGAGGGCGTTACATCAGAGAAGATTCAAATATTGTTCATAGATAATCTTGATCATAAACCCACAATTTATTGGTCTCAACAAACACACCGCAAAAAGAAGATTACATCGAATAGATCTCCACAAGAGAGGGGGAGAACATTGTATTGACATCCAAAAAGAGAGAAGAAGCCATCTAGCTAATAATTATGGACCCGAAGGTCTGAGGTAAACTACTCACACTTCATCGGAGAGGCTATGGTGTTGATGTAGAAGCCCTCCGTGATGGATGCCCCCACCGGCGGAGCTCCGGAACAGGCCCCAAGATGGGATCTCGTGGATACAGAAAGTTGCGGCGGTGGAATTAGGGTTTTGGCTCTGTATCTGATCGTTTGGGGGTACGTAGGTATATATAGGAGGAAGGAGTACGTCGGTGGAGCAACAGGGGGCCTACGAGGGTGGAGAGCGCGCCTGGGGGGTAGGCGCGCCCCCCTACCTCGTGGCTTCCTCCTTTGTTTCTTGACGTAGGGTCCAAGTCTCCTAGATCATGTTCGATGAGAAAATCACGTTCCCGAAGGTTTCATTCCGTTTGGACTCCGTTTGATATTCCTTTTCTTCGAAACCCTAAAATAGGCAAACAAACAACAATTCTGGGTTGGGCCTCCAGTTAATAGGTTAGTCCCAAAAATAATATAAAAGTGGATAATAAAGCCCAATAATGTCCAAAACAGTAGATAATATAGCATGGAGTAATCAAAAATTATAGATACGTTGGAGACGTATCAATGGAATAGCAGCGGAAGAGGATGAACAACAACGGATGGCTAGGAAGATGAGCCAGGGAGGTAGATCAGAGCAGAGACTAGGACGGAGAGTGGAAGATCCAAAAGAAAACAAGGAGGAGGGCGGAGAACAGAGGAAGAAGGGGATCGGTGTAGCGCCGCCAAGTGCGATGTAGGAGCACCATGCAGCAAGCAGCATCGGAGAAAAGGGGAAGAAGAAAACAAGGGACAAAGGGAGATCGCGGGAAGAAGGGAGAGGGAGAGGACGGCATCACGCCAATCACCGGAAGTCACTGGAAGTCATCGCCGGAAGTCGCCACCGCTTAAGCCTAGGAGCCCACCGCTTTTTTCCTTGACAACATGGAGGTGAGGTTCAAGCGTCGATCTCAGGCTGTTGTTACATGAACACAACAACAGCAGAACATCGCTGGCAGAACTCCAGGAGTCGACATCCGGCCCTGCCCCGGACATCCAGCCCGACAGGTCCGGACATCCAGCCGAGCCCTGGAAATCTGGCTCCCGGACACCAGTACTGCGACCAGCGCCCAGGCTAGACATCCGGCCCCGATCACGGACATTCGACGCCCCGCGAGGCCCCAGACATCCAGGAGCTACGCGTACCTAACCGGGTCAGAAGCCCATGTACCCTCTCCTCCTCTCTTATTTCGCCCAAGACTATAAATATGGCATCCCCTCCTCCTGGCTAGGTTAGCAAAGTATATGAGACATTAGAGAGATATTTGCTCCTTGTACCTCCTTCTTGGGGAATCAAGACCTCTCAAGGGAGAAGGATCCCCATCATAGGATCATCAAGACCTCCTAAGGGAGAAGGGTCTCTCTAGATCATCAAGATCTCACCTCCTTTGGAGTGGGAAGAACTTTACCCTTATGTTATTTTTCCTTGATTGTTCATGTTATGCTTGTGGATCTCATTTGTGCTATTCTAGTGGATGTGTGACTTGGTTTTGTTTGAGATTCCTCTTGTTGTTCTTGTTGATGTCCCTCCCTCCAAGTGTGAAAAGATTATCAACTAGGATTTCACCCTACATCAAAACATAGGGCCGGAAAGAACGCAATAATCAACATGGTGATGTTCTATACATGGAAGGAGCGCAGTCGGACTTTTGACAACGTATTTTCCGTGGAGGCAGTGTTGGTTGCTAAGATCACAGCCAAATGGAGGATGTAGAAACTAGCTTGGGATCATAGGGCTAGGGGTGGTCGTCTGGTGGGCGAGACCGAAATGTAGACAGTATAAATACTCGTGGGGTGGTGGGGTGAGTGTGTCTCCCTGTAAAATTTGATCTTGTACTATTTTCTCCTTGTTAATGAAACAACACGCAGCTCATGCGTGTTTCTAAAAAACGGTGGTGGCGCTTAAAGAGGTATAACTATTGAGTTATGTATTGTATTATCTAAAACAAGTATGATGGGAGAGTTCAATGGTTTGCAAGCTCGTTTTTTCTTGAGAATGTCAATTGATATGCTCACCGTTTGCAACTAATAGCTAGTTGCTGCACCCATTGAAGGAAGGTCATGCTGCTCAATTCGTTTAGACTCCTTTTGCTAACACCGTTAGCTCCTCTACAAAGCGTGATCATTTGTAAATGGTGCTCGGTTCATGCCCGTTGAATATTTCTTTCGGGCGGGATTTGATTGGCCTTCGTGTTATGTCATGGCAAAAATTATTATCCAGATTGAAATTGATTAATCTGACACGAGGATGAGATGTGTTTCACTGAAACCTCACTACATCTGGGTCCTCAGACGACTCTAATATACCATGCGCTCACGTATTCACAAGTCTCATTGAATAATAATAAGAAAATTTGGATGTCAAATATTCCATTAAAAGTTAAAATATTCATTTGGTATCTTCGAAGAGGGAGTTGTGCTAATCAAAGATAATCCCGCATGTCGCAGTTGGCAATGAAGCAACAAGTCCAGCTTTCATACTCATGATAAGACAATCAAACACCTCTTTTTTCAATGTAAATTTGCGCGTTCTACATGGTCAGACATTCAAATAACGTCTACTTTGTATCCACCCATAAATGCTGCCAATATTTTTGGTTATTGGTTGGATGGTACCAAATAGGATCCGATCGTTAATATGGGTGGAAGCGCATGCCTTATTATGTATGCTCTGGCTATGTAGAAATAATTTGGTTTTTTAGGGCAAAATTTCCTCTCCTTTACAGGTTATCTTCCGCTATATGTACTCGCTTCATATATGGTCTACGCTACACCAAACGGAGTACTAATTCACTGTTTAAGACGGTATATATGTGGTTGGAGCGGGTGACATGGAGTTTCTTATCCAACATAGATGATAGCATAATCTCCGAATCGATCTACCAAGCCGGATGTTGCTCGTCATGCTTTGTATCCGCTTAATGCAAAATTTTAAATTAATAAAAATGCCTTTATCGGGAACAAAGCGCCGTCATGAGCTTCAACACAAGGGCTAAACTGGCCATCGATTTTGAGGATACCACCACCAGTTGTTTTAGCGATGGTACCCGGGACAGTTTTGTTATATTATTTGGATTCAGAATTTTGCGCAGTTCACTTGTGAGTTCAGACGGTGGTTGTAACCTTCGCTGGTCGTAAATTTTAGAAAATTTTGACAAAAGGGCACATCTTTGTTTGCACGTCGACAAAAAAAAACGCTGCAACATTTTATCAATTTCTGGCTGCACAAGCAACATTTTATCAATTTCTGGCTGCACAAATTCAGGCAACGTCTCATTTGGTGTGAATAACGCTAACATCACATTTTCGTGTCCTGCATAGTAAAGAAAAAACCTTTTGTGCTTAGCTTGGCTTGCATGAACTTCATTTTTCAAGAACCGTTTGGAAACTTCGTAGTCAAAAAACAACGTCGATGAAGGCAAGTATAAGTACACTATTACACGGCAGGGATTGCAATTTTTCTCGCATTTTCGTTTTTTCAATCAAACTCAAGGGAGAAACTTTGATTCTTATAAAGAGGGCCAGCAGCACCCAAGCACATCGAGGCAGAACGCAAATGTAACACGAATAAGCATTCTCCTGAATGTTTATTCACTACTAAACCAGTAAAGTTACCAGGATGTTCTAACTAAAACCAGTATCTCAGTACTCCGAAACAACTCGGGTCAGAGGACATACAATCTTTTTTAAGAAAAAAGCAGACAACATTATACAATCTTAAAGGAGATAAAACCAGTCTTTCCAGAAAATACATGCTGCTGCTTCTACATACCGCGAAACAAAAGCACGAGGCCACTGACTAATTTGCTTTGCCCTGTGCAGCAAGCTTGGCTGACACCTCCTCATCTGATAAAGGCAGATAGTAAATCCTTGGAGAGGATTGTGTCTTTCTGAAGAGATCATCAAGTGTCACCACAGGAGGTTCTGCCTTCTTTGGGGTGGGTGGGAGCTTCTCCCTTGGATCAGATGTAGGAGGCTTCACAAGGGGTGGTGGAGGCGGCAATTGCTCCCTTGGTGTAGCAGCAGCTTGGCGAGGCACACTTTGATTTGCCTGACCTTGCTGAAAAGGAGCCTCCCTTGGTGTAGTGGCTGGGCTAATAGGAACCGCCGCTGCTGTTGCTGCTGGGGGAGGGGGAGGGGGTTCAAGCTTGAGTTTCACTTCCTGGGGATCAACAAATTCAGCTAACAGATAATTGCCATTGTTCGGGGGCCACTGCAGGTTGTAGACAGCATCACGAGTAGCTGTAGCTTCCTCCACCGAGGAGAACTGCAAATAAGACATGGAGGCAAAATAAGCGAACAAATATTTACAACAACCAGCATCATCGCAATGAATGCTTTTCAGCTAAGAAGATCTACAACTGATACATTCTTTAAGAACTACATCCACTCCAAACTAAAATCCAACTAGTCCACAAGTCATTAGTAGAAAGTAGCATCAGTTATCAGGCTTTGCCGACTATCAAGTCCACTTGAGAAATATAAAATGTCAAAATGATTTCACTATAAGCATGATGAAACCGCATTTAGAAAATATAGGTCCATGGGTTTTTAGTTTGGTTACATAAGAAAGGCTGCAAGTCTGCTGTATTGGACCTTACAAAAAACAATCCTTAGCAAAAACGAAGCTTAAGTCAGAAAATAATATATGCTGCTTCAAAGATGATAGAAGGAAATAAAAGACAAGAACACACTAAGTTGTGATTAACAAATAGAACATACTGTAACATAGCAGTGGGTCTTGATATGATCCATCCAGAAGCTACAAACAGATCCAGTTTTACCAAGAAGCTCTTGCACAGCTCTCAGGGTAAATGGGCGTACAAACCGGTCGATTCTCAAGGAAGTTGTTGCAGATTTCTGAGATGGTGGCACTGCAAGACCAAAACAAAGAAAAACAATTAGCTACCAAAAGAAAACAATGAACTGATCAAGTATAAAGACTTGGTAATGAAAGGACACGTAAACAAATAAGGACTCACCAATCCTCTCCTTTGGAGAATCTCCACTTGCTGTTGAATCAGACCTGCCAAGAGAACGTTTTAAGGCAGGCTGGAGAATATCCTTACGAGCATCAGAACCACTTTGACTCAATGGTTGTCTTTCTGGAACATTGCCACTATCTGCAGCCCATCGACGCTGACGTTTGATTGGCTCAGTGTTTGCAACAGTTTCTTGAGCTGTGTGTGTTCAACAGGCAATTAATACAAAACTCAGGGACACTATCAATTTAACTGCAGAATGACCAAAAGATCTTATGCTCATTACTTCACTAGCATTCTAATTCTGTATCCAAATATTAATGACATACTCCCTCCGTCCCAAAATTCTTGTCTTAGATTTGTCTAGATATGGATGTATCTAACACTGAAACATAACTAGATGCATCCGTATTTAGACAAATATAAGACAAGAATTTTGGGACGGAGGGAGTATTAAACAAATCCCCATTAAGTAGCATTAGACAACTTGTGAGCAATAGAACGTCACCAGACTATCTAAAAATCTAAGGGTTTCAGTTCATACTTAGCAGCTAACAATAATACTAGAGTACAGAGCATCTGCGCCTTCCTCAGCTAAACTAACTTGCACTCACAAGCCACTAGCAAAATTTATTTTATGTGAAACAAACGTGCTAACACAAAAAAACTTCAGAGAATGACCTCTTTGTGAAACATATCCAATACACAGTAACAACAAACATAAAGTCAACAAAAATAAATGTGCCTACACAAACTTTCTTGTCTCACAAAAACACACCCAATGCGGTACATTTTTTAGTTTCTTTGGTGCGATGTTTGCAAGCAATCAGAACTACAAAGATAATCTGACTCATCATTCAAGATGGAATTTACTCCGGGAGCCAACGGTTGTAATAAATGAAACTAGAAAGTGAAAGGGCAGGAGAGAAAGATATAGACCTTGAAATTTTCTCTTTTCAGTTGAAGCTGATGGATTTTCTTCAGCTATAACTTCCTTTGTATCAGCAGAGGAGCTCTTGACAACAGAATCAGGAAGAGACACCTCTTTCACGTATTCTGAGTTAGGCTCAGTCTTTCCTCTGAGATCATCATATTTAACACTGAAATCAAGTTGCTTAATCTCCATAACATCATCCTCCATTGACTCATCACCTGAACTCCTGTCTAAATTTAGTTTCTCTGGAGAGCCAACTTCATCCACGTTGGCAGTGGAATCTGTGTCTTCCAAAGAGAACTGGTTCTTGACCAACTCTTTGTCATCATCCAATGGCTGCAATTCTCCACCTAAGGAAGTAATGCCGGATGATGGTTTGACCATATCTGGCTTAACCTCTAGTTCTAAATCAAAATTATTAGCATTCAAGTTATCCTTTATATTCTTTTTGGTATTTGATATATCATCACTAGAAATTGACTCACACTTAATTGGAGACCCTAGATCTGGGCAAACCTCAGGTACCTGATTATTTGATTTTGATACAATGGGCTTGTGATCCTCATTCATGAGGTTAGAACTGCACACTTCATTATCGATCCATGTATTGTCGCCCAAATCATTCTCAGGAACAAACCTCTCCCCATCATTGTTCATTGATGCAGCTGCAACATCAGTTTCCATAGGATCAGCATCTGGTATTTGGGCATCCACAGGTTTTGGTAATGTGTCATGTTTATCAGTTTTGCTAGCTTCAGCAGTATCTGACTTGGCTTCAGAAGAGATCAAGTCCGACTTGAGATCAGCACTGGTCACATCAGCGACAACAGTTGTTCCATTGGTGACAACCTCTGGTGTCTCCTCAATGTGCATCTTATTGCTTTCAGAGTGCTGGTGCCCTGCTTGTACTGTAGAATTTTCTCCAGCAACTGCTTCTGGCTGATCTCCTTTTTCTGTTGGGGCTTCTTTTGAGAGGGATTCATGGTTTGCCACTACATTATCCCCGGGGGACTGTTCCACAGACGAAGCCATAATTTCCTGAGTAACTTCTGGGAGAGGAACTGCAGTTTCCTGAGTTGCATGAACCCTAGTTTCCTGACCAACTTCTGTAGCAGAAACTGCAGTTTTCTGACTAGCAGTATGTTCTTCAGGTGCTTGATCAGACGGTCCATTCGCCCCCACATCTTTCGCATCTTTACCAATGGGTGCGCCTTCATTGGCTCCGACGTCTTCAGCAGATTCGTCAGATGCCTCTTCACTCTGAATAGATTCAAAGAGACGCCTCACAAGTTCTTCTTTCAGACCTTTTACAGGGAGCCTCCTCTTTCGAAGTTCATCCTTCAACTCAGTAACTTTCCATTGATCAATGGGTCGATTCTTCAGCACAGGGAATGATGACATGATAACTGCCAACAAAGAAACAAATAAAAACTAAAGTCGCCATCACTAGATCTCAATGGATTTCCTTTCTGGATTAGAACTGTATATCTGATAAAAGATGTCAAGTGGTGTTAGGTGGCCTAATGCATCGATTTAAATCTACGAGTTAACAGGATGGCCAGATTAATCAATAGCAACCACAAGATATAATAGCAGCATGCTCAAGCTTCAACACCTGACCACCCTAACTCCCTGTCCTTCGGAGAAAGGCGCAGACACAAACAAAAAGGAAGCAAGCTAGCCACGAAGAATATAGTAGGACATCTAAGTAGGGTTACCTGAAAATCCTGGCGCGGGACACGGAACGGAACACCCTTGACGCTCGGAGATGCCAAAACCCTAGCCCTGTAAAGAAGATGCTGTCAGATCGAACCATAAAAGTCGTACCAAAAATCGCAAGCAAGCGAGTTAGAGAGAGCGGATTGCACGCACCAGCCGGCCGAATCCTCCGAGGCCACTCACTCCTGAAACAAAGAAACAAAAAACCAAAGATATTCCCAAATAAAATCTCGGAAAAGAATAGAAGAGAGGATGGCACAGC